GGATGACGTCCACTGGGAAGTACAGAGCACAGAATGAGGAGGTCTTGACCTGAAGCTCTGTGCTTTGCATCAACTGACTCTCTCCACAGGTCACTTCCATGGGCTTTTCCTGGCTGCCAACATGGAAGTTCAGTCCTCAGAGTGTGGGAAGCCCAGGAGACACTTTCAGGGAATGCACCCTCTTGTCATTTATGAAACACATGACAAAGGCTCATGGCCATCTCTTTCCCTATGGAGATATAAACCACTAATAAGAGGAAAGCCTTTCAGAAGCGACAGTGCTGGACAGACTCGCCCTCAGCTCATTAAGGTGATGGAAGAGAAGCTGGGGTTACAGCAGTGAGGAACCGGTAGAGAAAGGCTGTTGTTGATCCGAGGGTAAAGCAGCTGGAAGGGTCCCCAAATCAGCATAACTCAGAGCTCGGAGGGCAGGTGCTTTCTCTATAGCCTCGCACACGCTTGCTGTCTTGTGTGAAACTCCTCAGCATTCTGTTTTCATTAAAAAGTGGCCTGCTACCCGCTTTCCATGGTGATGTAAGTCAGAGAATATGACCCGTGTGGGGGCCTCTTTACACGACCAAATAAAAACAAACTCAAAGCAAAACAAACACATCTCAAAACAAAAAACTCTAAAGTCTTATACCCTTTTCCAAACAGTACTCATACTGTTCTCCTAGTTGGTTTGCTCTGAAGAACCTGATCAATACAGCTTTTAAAACAGGAAGCAATCTGATGGATGTCTTCTAAAAAGGACTCCACACACAGTTGAAGAAATGAGTCTAAAGAGGATAACTGAGTTAAAAAGGGAAAATATTGTGATCAACCCAAAGTTGAAAGTAAAATGTATTGAAAATGCACAGAATACACCTGATTAATCAAATGTCATTGTCAAACCTTGCTTAACCCTGCTCAGCACATGTTCCTTCATCTGTATTTGGAGAAATTTATGTAACATATGGAAAAATTCATAATAGCATATTAAATAGCTCATGAACATTATGGAGTACAGTGCACGGTAAGCACTGGCTCTGCACCTGGGGTGTCCAGCTGCTGACAGAGCAGTGACTCATGACTGCAGTCCACCACGAGCAGGTACTGCACCATATAGTACTAGTGAGAGGAGTAAACACATTACAAAATGAAAGATTTCAGTGAATAAGTTTTCTCTTTTTCTTTAGTACTAAAGTTTTAGTCTGGAAATGGTGGCGCACGCCTGGAACCCCAGCCTGCAGGAGGCTGAGGCAGGAGGATCATTGCGAGTTTGAGCTGAGCTTGCAATACGTAAGTGAGCTGAAGGCCAGCCTGAACTGCACAACACCCTGTCTCAAAAAGACAAACTAACTAACTAACTACATAAATTAAATTAAATTAAATTAAAAAGTTTTAACTCAGGGCCTCAGGCATGTTGGACTGGAGGTACATCCATATATTTAATCCACATTGACACAGGTTTGGACTGGGGATTTAGCTCAGCGGCAAAGCGCCTGCTTGGCAAGCGCAAGATCATGAGTTCAATTCCTGGTACCGAAAGAAAAACAAAACAAAAAAAACCAAACAGATACAGGCTCATGCTCAATTGTCCAGGCTGTGCTTGGTGTTGCAATACTCCTGTCTCAATCCCAGGCAGCTGGGATTAAAGGTGTGCACGCCAGGCACCACTGATATTTACTCTCCCCAAGCTCTGAAATCTCAGTAAATCTTGATAATAAGAGAACTCCAACCTTGAAGTAGCTAAATGTCACATGCCTGTGTTCTCAGCAGTGAAAAAGTCCTCCCCAGCATGGGTAACTGAGTAAGTCCAAGTTTCAAAAATTAAGAAGGGAGAAACGGGCTATGTAAGTCAGAGCAAAATTCCTGTGTTCAGTCCCCAAACAACAAAAAACATCAAACAAACCTTGAAATCTTTGTATCCAAGAGAAACTCCTCCCCATTCTACTTTAATTCTACTTTAATGATGACGCCCACACTATTATTAAAACTACAAGACCAGTTTCCTCATTTCAATTTGGTCTCACAAATGATTAGGTGAACTGATCAGTAATAACAGAAGACATATCCACAGTATCTGTTACTAGGTTTCCCTACTCTCTTTAGGCCTGTGACCTCTGACCCTCTCAGGCCAAGGCAGCACACAATCCTTCAATTATTGTCACACCAAGAGCAATCTGACCTCAGGGGAAGGAGGTCACAGTTGTAGTTGCTGATTTCACTTGGATCCCACAAGCCCTGCTCCCCCATTTACTTTTTAATCCTCTTTGCTCTTCCTATTCAAAAATTTCTTTTATTCCTATTCTTTCATGTACCTGCAGACCCTCACACTGGGGATTTACCTCCGCTTCAGCACTTGTTTTATGGAGTCCACCTCAGTCAGTATTTCAATTTCAAATCAATGTGTAGAAACAGGGCAAGGACAAAGCAATGATTTCAGAGATGACAGCCTTTCCCCTTCCCACCACGGCCAGTATCACATGTCCCTGTCCATGCAGATGCCCCAGGTCAATGTGTTTCTCTGTTTGCGTTTAACACACAGCACTTTCAGAAAGTTGTCCTTAGCTGAGCAGGCTTCCCTTTATCCCTAATGCACACTGTCATCACGACATTGGTGGGAGTGGGGCCTCAGGATCTAACCCAACTGGCTTCACTAATGAGGTCATGTTTGCTAGGCGGACTATATTCTGTGATCTGGGAAGCCCTTTGTGACAAAGTTTTATGGCAGGTGAACAGGCACATACTAATTGTCTCAGATTTCCAAGAATGGTGTAACAAGCACAGGTACATTTTACAAAAGAAGGATCTTACAAAAATAGGGATTCTTATAAAAAAGGAGTAATTTTATTTCCTTTGACAGAAAAGACTACATTTCCACACTGGTAATATATTACCACCCCCACCATTTCCCTAAGCATTCTAAGCTCTCTGAAGGCCTCATTTAAATAGTCTGAATGTAAAAAATAGTTCATTGCATTACCTCATAACTAAGGTATCTAACCATGGAAAATAGCCTGAGTAGAATTGTGTAATAAACTATATGGTTGACAATGAAGATAAGAATACTTTGTGAAATATACATAGCAGACCAAGAAAGTACAGCCTTCCCCACTCTGAGATGCGGCCACTCCTTACCAAGCTCCCCAGTTTCCAGGAATTTCAAGTGCAAAATAACCACTTCTCTAAAATCCCATTTTCCTTTAAACCTTACACAGTAAGAAAATGTGTTTGAGAACCTGAGTTTCAAATGGTCATTTTATTTTTTTTGTTTTGTTTTTTTTTTTGGTTTTTCTCCGGTACCGGGAACTGAACTCACGACCTTGCACTTGCCAGGCAGGCGCTTTTGCCGCTGAGCTAAGTCCCCAGCCCTCAAATGGTCATTTTAAATACACAGAATGCCTTCTGATCAGTGGACATTAAATCATTGAGTACTGTGCTCTGCTGATCTGTACTTAGCTCTGTACCGAGCAGCCACATGGCCACCCACTCAGGATGCTTTCAAGAATCAGGCTGCTATTCATCTTCTCTCCAATGAAAACTCTACCAGTGTAGGGACAGCTGAGACCTCTAGGTAGGTCAGATAAGGGACTGGGCCCTCTACAAAGTACAGAAGACACGGTCTCTGTGTCATAGCAAACAGTCATGATGACAGCCTGCAGTTTCACACCCGTGTCTGTGTAGCTACAGCCTGCTCCTTTTTTTGTTTGTTTGTTTTTGTTTTTTCCGGTACCGGGAATCGAACTCATGACCTTGCGTTTGCCAGGCAGACGCTGTGCCACTGAGCTAAATCCCCAGCTCCCACAGCCTGCTCCTTTAAGCTCCCCTTCAACAAGTTCGGTTTCCCAAAACGAGCTGCTAAAGTAGTTGCTGGAAAGTGCCCCTACAGCCCACCAAGCCCAGCCCGCTAGCAACAAGTCCAATAACGAATTATGCAGTGACCCTTGGCGGGGGTGCAGATGGGACCCTCACCCTATAAAACACGACTGCACTTCAGTTTGTCTGTGACTCAACTCGGAGTGTCCGCACTCCTCTACCGGGTGTCTTTGTACCGCTTCTTAGAATATCTGCAGGGCAGTTTTGCTTAAAGTCTTCCCTGACTCGTCTTCCTCTTTCTAGGTCAGAGAGACAAGCCCAGCGAGGGTGAGTCTGGAGACTGAGACCCAGGTAACATTAACATCCCAGTTCGGTTCAGGAATTCACTCCAGTGTCACGAGAGCATGAGCTGTGTTTTATATCAGTCAGTAAGGATCTGACATAAATAACTAAGGTGATAACTTTTTCAGTTGCTGAGTGTGACACTCAGTTCACTGCCTGCTTGGGACGCACTGCCCGAGTCATGTCACGTGCAATATTGAGCATTTCTTTGGATTTTCGCGGCCCTTATCAACATTTTCACAGGGTTGACAACGTGGGACAATATTGGAAACTCAAGAATTCACTGAGTGGGAAAAGGCGGAGGTCTGAGGAGCGCGGGTGGGTGTGACATCCTGCATCGCAATGAGGGGAAGTATTGGAAACTCAGGAATTCACTGAGTAGCAAAAGGCGGAGGTCTGAGGAGCCGGGGTGTGACATCCTGCAGCGCAATGAAGGGAAGTATTGGAAACTCGGGAATTCACTGAGTAGGAAAAGGCGGAGGTCTGAGGAGCGCGGGTGGGTGTGACATCCTGCATCGCAATGAGGGGA